ACTTTGGACAGTGGGAGAGTACATATTTTACTATAAACTGGGGTCTGCCAAGATTATATAAGGACAAGAAACCTTTTACAAGCAGTTTCATGTTAATCTGAAAAAACCAACTCAATTCATAGTTGACTTTTAAGCAATAGAGAAAAGTGGGATAGTACATCTTTAACTATTCCCCAAATACCCCCTTTTTTTTTTCCTTTTAAATTCTCTTAAGTAAGTCTGTATCAGCTTCATACCGATATTTAGCACCAGGTAATGGGATATTCACCATTTAGCTTTTGGGGAAATGTACAGTATGCTATTTACTCTGCGCTAGAATAAAGGGTCCAGTTGCAATAAAAGTTCATCCTTGCTTTCTACGGTAGAACATCAATGCTGGAAGTGCAACAGCATGCTTTCAACCATGAAGCTGTAGCTTATTTACAAACAAAAGAATGCCCCCCTCCCTCTTTTCCCAGTTGCTTATTCATGATGATGATTTGATTAATTAAGGTTAGGTTTCCTTCACACTGGAAACTAGGGTAGGTTTTAATCACTTTGTCTTAAACTGAATTGGAACACTGCATACCAAACAAGCACAGCCTGGCATTTCAATATGAGCTCCACTACTTTCACCATCTCTGTACGTTGTATGAGAAGACCGCTGCTGAAAGATGTAACTATACACACCGGCATATATAATCATGTTTTCTTAGAAAATGTAAAACAATAAATTCCTTGAGGAGGTGGGTAATGGGCCAACAACCTGTAATTACCAGTATGTCTGTTATCTACCCTCTTTACCAAGAAAGAATTGTATTTTTTAGCAAAGTTTTTGGGGTAGAGGGCGGAGGGGTGAGAAATTTTAATTTTTTGGTAACAGGCATACTGGAGACAAACAGCTTTTGTTGTCAGTCAAAAGGCAGTTTAAATTTTGATTAATTTCAGGGATTTGTTTTTTTTTTGTTATCGCAATTTAATTAAAAAAAAAAGATACTTCTTAACAGCAAGCTTTTGTCCATTGCTCTTTGACAATGAAATGACACTCAGTGTTCCATCGCTTTCGCACAGCAGTTCATAGCTGTAGCCTACAGATTAGTGTATATGCATAGTATTAACAAAACATTAGTACATCAGAATCAGCAGTGGTCCATGTTATTTCTGTAGCAGCACTGCAGCCTTCCGACACCGTGAAGCAGTTGATACACCGCAAGTTCTTAGGATACAAAAAATTACAGAGGACAATCCTATTATACTGCCTTGTGGCAGATGGTACTTTCTTTTGTGGCTGTGCAGAATGACTGCCAATACTGTTCTGTACTCTGCCTGGTGGTAGCTGGGGGAAGGAGAGAGGACCCTTTCATATATTTTATTACAAGAACCCACAACTGATAACAAAATGCTGATGGAGCTCTTCCCCCACTCCTTGGGAGTCAGAGTCCTCTGAGTCTGGCAGCTCATACTTCTCTGATCCCTTGAGTCTCCCTTTGCCTGTCTGGCTGGATGCTCCGTGCCTGGCAATGCTTCTGCTGCCTATGAGCAGAAGCTGCAGGGAAGCTCCTCTCCCCTCCCCATAGCACTGACCGTGCTACTAGCAAAAAAAAAAACCCTGAGTCTTGCTTCACCCTTCCAGGTATTAAGAGCTCTAGCTTTCAGCCATGAGTAATACCCGCTCCTGAGTTGTTTGCATTAATCTGTGCATGGTCGCCACAGGACCTCCGATTTAACTTAATAACAACTGTATTTGGCTTTTCTTTTCTTTTCTTATACACTTGTGAGTATACATGAAAGATCAAGAGATAGAAAAGGGAAGAAAAGAAGTGGTTTTCACTGGGTGTTTTCTTTTAGATGTTTTCTCCAAGGCTTGGCTTTCTTCAGAGCACATACACATACACTGAGGAGCACACAGTAAAACATCAAAGATAAGTAACTGCTTGAGGTGAGAACAAGTTCGTGTGCCAGGTCCAGCTCTCCATGATGACAGTCGTGACTGACTGGCACCCAAAGACCATTGCCATGTGTCAGTCTCTGCATTGAGGTTTTTCTGAAATATTTCTGTGGTTCAATCACCTGAAAACATCTCAAGCCACAAGAAAATGGATTAAAGATTCAAGTTTCACTGCATGTTATGTCTGTCTTAAGAAAAGCTAAGAAACAGCTTGATCCTCTCCACACTGGCAAGGCCAGAGCTCTGGAGCCAGCTGCTTGCAGTGCTGCGTGGGGTATGAAAGGTCTCCAGAAGAGCATACACCAACTGCAACAGCTACGTTTCTGCAACATACCAAGCAGTTCCTGCTGCTTTTTCAGGGCTGAGCAGTAGCTTTGCTGTGGCTGTTACCTTCTGCAAAATGATGAAGAGCTTTCAAACATGATACCACCATTGTTCTCAGTGAAACCTGAGCCATCTTTTTGCATGTGCAGAAAACAGGCCCGGATATGCTCAGGTGAGCAAAAATACATCTGAGACTTGTTGGGACAACACAGCCTGTGCAAATAACTGTGAACGCCTACAGGCATACGTGAGGAATGCATGGCATGACTAGTATTGGAGGAAGGAAGGCAGGACACTTGTAGTAGGTCTGGTCTACATCAGTCAGCTGTTGTAGGCATAGCAGGTCTGCAGTATTTCATTTTTCTGTAACACTCAAGTTTGTCTATTTTTACACAAGGCAGGCACTTAAAAAGACTTCTAGGATAGGAGTTAAAATGATTACCTACTTTTTTAAATGAAGTTTTTTCCAGTTTTGTTATGTTTTGTTTTTTAGCCTTTCATATGAGAAGATGGGAAGCTGGCTGGTGACCTTATTATTTACTTGAGGGAATGCAGTCTTTCCAGAGGAATCCCTACTGCAACCCACCTCACTCCGCCAAGGTAGTCACAGTCTCTGCATAGCCAAATTAGCCAAGTATAATTCAGCTAACCTTCACCCTATACACTGCTACAGAAGGACTGTACGTGAAATGTCTGGTCCCCAGAGGCTGAACCCATAGCTCCTATTTTCCCAGGCAGGGACACCTTGCTAACATGCAATGCACAGCATGAACTGCCAGCTTTCTGAAGGTGGAAAATACATAGCTAACAACCATCACATTTTCATTTTGAAAGTATGTTTTCAAGGTAAGAGCTTAAAAATTTGCATCTTTGTAAACTGGGCGCTTGACCTAATTGAGTATAGATCAGAAGTAATATGTGTGACAAACACAGGGGCCTTTGCTAGGGAACCACAGAATCATTAAGGTTGGAAAAGACCTTTAAGATCATCAAGTCCAACCATCAATCCGACACCACCGTGCCCATTAACCATGTCCTGAAGTGCCACGTCTACCCGTTTTTTTGTTGAATTGCCAGAGCCTTGCCATTCTGGATAACACGTTTCTGGTCAGGTTCTGCTGCAGGCATCCTTTGGCAATTGCTTGAAACTAGACCTCTGGGGCATACAGGGGAAGATAATTCCTTGCACCTTTAGAAAGACTTTTGAACTTGCTTGGAGGCCTGATACAAATACACTGTCAGCATAACTTGCTCTTGCCTTCACTGCCAAAAACAAGTATAATTTTTGAAGAATGCCAGCTTTGTAAGCAGTTTGCTATTCTCAGCTCTCCAAAGAGCTACATTTTGTGATGTAGCATTACTTTTTCAGACATCTAACATGACACAAGACTAGAGAAATCAGATGCTGCATTGTTTCAAAGACTAGCTGATTTAAAGTCTGATAATCTTAAAGTGCTTATTCAGTGTGATCTGAATAAAAAATATTCTGTATTAGATTTGACTTTGAAAGTCTGATAGCATGATAAATTTGTTGCTGTTGCACTAAGACCGTTGTTGTACCGGCTACTTGGAAGAAGGCTCTCTTTCTCTCTCTCCCTACAGGAATTCATACTTTACTAGGGGAAACAATTCTCTCCAATAGCCATGAGTGTTAGGAAGATCCTTGGGTTCCTTTCTAAATTGAGTATAGGACAAAATGCATTACCTTCACAGTGCATGATTCTTTTAACACCGAAGTCAATGAAACCTTTCCTATTCTCAACAAAACCAAGTTTCAGACCTTCTAATTCCTACTGACAGGAGTGGCAGCAGAACTGGCCTGATGGGATTTCCTCCGTACGTGTCTTTACATTTTCTTTGCCTGTGGAAGTGATCAACTGCAAAGTGATTTAGCTGTAATGAAAGTGTGAAGGACAGTATTAGGCTGTTTTTGAGCTACAGGGAGAGAAGTTTTCTGCAAACAAATCCGAGGGGAAAAAAGACCTATTCCTCAAAAATAATAGTTTCTGAATTCTTCTTCAATCTTTTAGGAAATCTCCTCTTCATTCTCAGAGTAAATACAGCATTTTTCAAGCCAAAAAAAGTCCAAGCAAATGTGATAAATGTAAGAACAGGGTGTTTTAATAGACTGCAACCTTAACCACAGAGAGAAAAAAAATATCTCTCCATAAGAAAGCAGCTTATGAGTGAGTTAACACAGGTACATGAATTCTATGTGTGTCTTCAGTTATGGCTTGAAAGTATCAGTTCTTAGTAAACAATATAAGATAAGATCTGAAAACTGTTCAGTGTGTTCACTGGCCTAGTGTAACTGATTTTTTTTCCCCTCTCAGTTTTGTAAAACTGAAACTATGAAATCATGTTTTTCAATAAGGTACCATTTTATGGAATCAGAATGAAGAAATAGGCTCTTTAGGAAGGTCTCTTAACAGGTTAATTTCCTTGGCTGGTTCTTCTCTGATGGCATCGTTTTCTTCCAAGGTTGTATGCTTTAAATTTGCCACTTTTGAGGAAGTAGATGGGATTAAGATGGCCTAGGTAGTACATGGGAAGACAATGACTTTGGTTAATCCTTACTCTTACACATCAGACTCTAGATGAATGGTTCCAGCTTGACCTGTTCCTAAAGCTTCAGTTATGGCTTTAAAAATTGGCCTGGTCCTACAGAAGAAAGACCACCATGTATTAAAGCATTAGTTAAAATTAAAAAGGTGAACATATAACGGTACACAATAAATGCAGGCTGCTGTTGGAGGGAGTGGATTTTTCTGCTACTTTCAGACCCCGATGCCCATAGTTGCTGATTAGAGGAGATGGAGGTCCTTCTGGAAGAGGCTGGTTGCTGATGGACAGCTTCAGTGCCTGAGGGTGCTGGATGCCCTGAAGTAGGAAAGGAACTTGTAGCAGAGGCTCACTACAAAGTACCAGATGTTTCGAGCCATCTGTGACCTTGCAATGAAAATGCGCCAGATGATCACAAGGAGGGTGGTGTTGAATGCATATCGGATGTTCCTCAGCCTAGGAAAGAAAGGGAGGCATCTCATGGAGGAAGACAAAAACAATAAAAAGCATACCAGCTTGCTGCTTTTGCTACAGGTCATTTTGTAAGAAATCCTGTTTACAGGTGGTGCTTAGGCTTTTTGCCAGTGTTATTTTAGTGAAGACACTGTGCCTAAAATGTCCCTACCATCTTGTCAAGGGCTGTGTTGAAGTTATGGTACAGTGAATAGTTAATGGAATAGGTGGAATATTTGTATTACAAGTCTCTCTTGTTCCATGTACTCTCATTTCAGACCAGAAAAGATACAGAAGTCATACTGAGAGTTGTTTTCTTAATGACAGTCTAGGTCCAATACTTTCTGCTTTGATTTGGTATATTGGCTATTTTTTACTTAGTAGGACTGGTGATAATCTGGAGGACCTTTGCAGGAGCTGATGAATAAGGTTCTCCTTTTTTGGTTGAAACCCTGCGTTTAATGTTGGAAAATTACTCAATAATCATAAAAAGTCTTCACTTTTGCAGTACTGCAACACTGGTTTGGTTGGTTGGTTGGTTTTGTTTTGTTTTTTACACAATATATTTAAATGGAATTATTGGGTCTTTAAGATGTTAATCATCTTGTCCTCTTTCTGTCAAGCAAATGTTTCAGCATTCCTCTAATTCTCACTTTCCCAATGTCTGACCAAGGGAAGAAAGCTTCATACCTAAAGTGCCCAAGACCAGTTTAATTTTTCTAAGAGTCTTTTTTTTTTTTTGGTCAACTTTATCAGAGCACTACACCACACTGACTATTTGGGCTATGGGGCAGTTACTGGCCTGTTACAGAGGTTCTTATAAACCCTTTAAAAATGACCCATGTTTAGGATTCCTTACTATGGCAACAGGCTGTTTTATGCTTCTAGAATTTACAGTGCACAAGAATGCTTTGCTTAAAGAAAACAACCAGGCTCTTATTCAAAGAGAGCTGCTCGTTCTCCTTTTGCCCACACTTCTCAGTAAAAGGGCTGGAGGAGACAGGAAGAGCACAATCTTTAACTGAATAGGAGAAGGACAAACTCAAATTTGTCATTCAGACTCTCTTAAACTGTCACCAAGGATTGAATGCATAAGCTTTCCACCTTTTTTCGAGAATTTCTGCCCATTCCCCACAAGGAATTAGAAACTTCAACTTTAAAATGAAATTTAAAATAATAAAAATTTTTGGAGTTTTTATGCAATGTCTTTGAAATGCCAAAACCTTGTAGGAGCTTCACAAAATGTAAATCTACCCCTTATTTTTGTGTTGTAATTTGAATGACCAAGTTCTTCTGCATTCATGTATTCCTCTTATGCATTGTAGCTTCATTACTTGGGTCTTCTGCTGGGAAGGCATAGTATCTAGCCCCTGATGGTTTGTGTCATCAAAAGTCCTCTTTTTCTTACAGGATGGAAAAACGAAATACTGACAGCTCTCTGCTGTAAGAAATAAGCTATGCTATGTTTATCTCCATATTATTCAACAATAATTCTTGCAATGTAAATAGAACAATTCTCCTCAAAAGCCATTCAAGGTAGTCAGGAGCTCTTGTCCTTGTCACTGGGTATGACTTACTTTCGTAAGTGCTGCTTTGCTGCTGGAATGCCAGCCATGTCCTCATTTAGCAAGTACTTCTTAGCACCTAGGCAGTAGCTTTCAATGTATTCTGACCAGTGCAGCTGACGAACATCAAAGTTGTATAACTGGGATTTAAAGACAAAGAGCAGAAGTTAAATGTCAGAATTCAAAATAAGTTCACTTTAAGCATCAATTCTTCACTGACCTCTGTTCCTGACAAGACGCTCTCTGTTAAGTTCTTAAAGCCACCAAGTTTCCAAGAAGACATGGGCACTAACAGACTATATTTCACAGTTGTCAATTAATGTCTAACCCATCTGGGAATTTGGGCAAAGCATGCAGAAATTGAGTGCTAGGTGGTAGAAAACAAAAATAAGTTTGTCTTTCAGGTGGCCATCTGTGCATAAATATGTATATTTCTACAAAAACATACACAAATATATATTATATATACACACACAAAATCGTGGAGGAAAAATGGCATTTCAATGTGGTAAATGGATTAATCTGAAAACCTCCATGCAGTTTTTAATGTCACTAGAAATATGTATAAATAAATGAACAGGACATTGAATCAACAGGTACTTCTGCATCAGTATTATGCTGTGCTGTGCTGCATTCTTTCTCAGCATCTAAATTGACAGAAGTCCAAGAAATGGGTTACTCTGTTGTTTGGCATCAAAAAATCTCATTGTAGAGCTAATTACCCCAGAAACTTTCATATGCTGATATTGGAAGAACTGTTAGCAAGCTCTCAGATGGCTGTCTGTCTATTAGAGCAAAGAAAGGATTTGTAAAGAGCAAGAGGTTTTGTTGTACAGATTTTTTTTTTTTAAATGAATGAGTGAAGTGAATGATATTTCTTATTTACGAGGTCTTACAAGGGAAGATACTCAGAAAAATATCTTCCTTTAACCCCTATGCCAATCCAGGCCATTTGCTTTGGCACAAGAGCTTTGGTATTAGACCAGCATTAACTTAAGCAGAGAGGGGCTAGCTAACTATGTCAAATACAGGGGGTTAGCTACTGTGCAGATCCTGGGGTGTCTGTCAGATATGTATAGGGATCTGTGCTGCCCATAAATTAACTAGCTTGAATACTGCTTACAAGGTACAAGGGCAATATGGGATGCAGTGCATCTCAAAAAGTTCTCATAAGCAGCTTGCTAAGCCTGAAACTCTGTCTAGCTTGCACTGAGTCCTTGATGCTGTAACTTTTTGTTTATCTGCCTCAGAACTAGTTCCTATCATACCATTTCAGTTCCCTCTACATCTGCTGTAGTCACAGCAGTGCCACTGCCCTTAGAAGTTAGAATTTGCTGCATGTACTCCCTCCGGAGACTATGGAAGAAGACTCTTGAGTATTACTGGGAGTCTGTGAAAGAGTTTAATGATGTGAGTGAGACCAGTTTGATGTGAATGCCTAAGTATCTCTTTGCAAGGAGATACTGACTAAAGGTGCATTCAAGCTTATCACAAAGCTACTTTCTGTGTTCCTTCATTCTTTCAGTTACAATCCCATTCTTAAGGAGTAGTATTTCAAACCTATAAAAACTGCAGCAGAACTTGACAGCCTGCAAAGTAATTGCTGTCTGGGGACTTAAGCCAAACAGGGATTTTTTTTATATTGTTCAGGGTAAGACACTATGTGTTAACTAAGTATTGTTCCCTGTGCAGTGCCCATTAAAACCAACATGGATGAAAACATCAAAATCTTTCAAGTATCTATAGTATATCAAGTATCATCTATATCACCCACCAAAAGCTACAGACTGCCAGAAGACATGAGGGAGAAAGTGATGTTGTAAAGGAGCTTCCTAGTTTTCCAAGGGTGAGACACTTAGAAAATTAGGATGAGAAGATATTGGGAATGCTACAGAGTTTTTCAGTGATTAATTAATTACAAGTGAACTCCCCATAGCACATATTTTTGCATTACCATTGATACTGTGTTTCTGGGGTCCCTGTACAGCACATTAGTTAACATGATAATATCACCCCATGAAAGGAGATGCCTGAAATTCTCAGGACCCAGAGTTGTGACATGAAAACTGGAACGGACCTTTTCTTCTTAGGAAGAGAAATATCATGTGTCTATCAAAAAAGGAATGTCCTCAGCTTTCCTATCCACTGGGTATTCCAGTCTATGTAGCCAACCACATGGGAAGTAGTAAAGTGGCCACTGTTACATATGATGCCCTCAACTTCTCCAACTCAAAGGGCTGAGTACAGCTGGGTCACTGAGGGTATAAAGTTATGTTTCCTTTGTACAGTCCATTTTGTCTGTGGAAACAAATCTAGCTTGTTTACAGGACGAATAGAATCCTGAGAGCAAAAGGTAGAGAGGTACCATGTTAACTGGAAAGACTGCAGTGACTGACCTGTCTCAGAAGAAAGAGCAATACATCTCAGGAGAAAACATTCTCCTATAGTAACTGGAAGGTTCCTGATAAGTTATTTAATAAAACAAGGAGGAAATAAAGAAATAACCTTTCAAGTTAAAGTCAATTCTGGTCATCTAGGCAGATGTCATTTATAAGTTCAACAGTACAATAAAAATAATTGCTGCAGATGAACAGAACTGGAGTTTAGCAATCCATATTGAGGACATACTTACCTTTTTGTCCTCTGTGTTAAGATGACTCATTAACATATTCATATTATCTGAAGACCAGTCCCAGGACTGGGTGGAGAAATACTGCAGGAGCATCATAGACTTGTGCAGTCGATTGATGATCTTCATCATTCTGAAACAGAGGAGGAGCGTCAGAGGTGGACAGGAAGTTTGACCTTATGCAAAAGCTGTTGGTTTGCTCTGTAGGTGTTTTCACCAATCCACATGAATAGGCATTGCAATTCCTGATGAGCACTGCACTGGTGCTCACCAGGCTGAGAACTTGCTTAGCAAGTCTTACTGCTCCAGCTGAGTCTTGAGCCTACAGCTACCCAGCTTCTATTGTTGGCTGGAATATGGGTGCAAACATGCATTTCCCAGGGCAGGACTGATGCCTAATTACTGGCCTGAACTAAACAAGTGTTGGAGGCCATATCTACATCACGTACCATGTGAGAGGTGAAGGGCCCATCTGAACAAATACGAAGTCTGCACAGCAGACTGCAAACCCACAAAGGTATATTGCTTACCTCCTGAGGTAGATACTTCTCTCTCACCCACACAAATGCTCTTCTGTTCTCAAGACTGAATTGGCTCTCAAAGCAAAGCTCTGATTTTTGGAGTTAGCTCCAGTACAGAGGTGACTGCATCTGCAGCATGCACAAGCTTTGAAGTCAATTGCTCAACTTCAGTTTTCAGACAGAATCACAGAATCACAGAATGGTTTGGGTTGGAAAGGACCTTAAAGATCATCTAGTTTCAACCCCCCTGCCATGGGCAGGGATACCTTCCACTAGGTCAGGTTGCTCAAAGCCTTATCCAACCTGGCCTTGAAGACTTCCAGGAAGGGGACATCCACAACTTCTCTGGGCAACCTGTTCTGGTGTCTCACCACCCTCACAGTAAAGAATTTATTCCTAATATCTAATCTAAATCTACCCTCTTTCAGTTTAAAACAAATATCCCTTGTCATACCAGTACAGTCCCTGATAAAGAGTTCCTCCCCATCTTTCATGCAGGCCCCCTTTAAAGTACTGCATTTAAGGCTGCTGTAAGGTCAACCTGGAGCCTTCTCCAAGCTGAACAACCCCAACTCTCTCAGCCTGTCCTCATAGGAGAGGTGCTTCAGCCCCCTGATCATCTTCATGGCCCTCCTCTGGACCCACTCGAGCAGGTCCATGTCTTTCTTATGCTGGAAGCTCCCAGAGCTCAGCACAGTACTCCAGGTGAGGCCTCACCAGAGAGGAGTAGAGGGGGAGAATCACTTCCCTTGACCTGCTGGCCACGCTGCTTTTTATGCAGCCCAGGATACAGTTGGCTTTCTGGGCTGCGAGCGCACACTGCTGGCTGATACTCAGTTTTTCATCCACCAGAATCCTCAAGTCCTTCTCTGTAGTGTTGCTCTCAATCCACTCATTGACTAGCCTGTATGCATGTTTGGGATTGCCCCGACCCAGGTACAGGACCTTACACTTGGCCTTGTGGAACTTCATGAGGTTCACATTCACCCACCTCGCTAGCCTGTCACGGTCCCTCTGGAAGGTATCCCTTCCCTCTAGAATATCAAGCACACCATTCAGCTTGGTGGCATGCTTTTCATGTCTTTGGGCTTCTTTGATCTCTCTCTCTCAAAAAAAGTTTTTTTTTGTCTTAAAGGCCATTCTTCTCTCTGTATAATATAGTAGCAGTTTGGAGCATTTTTTGTGTTCTTCCTTATACAGGAAGGGACTGATAGCAAGCACTCCTGGTGTATGACCTTGAAAATCGTCCAAATCCAAAGGCTATTTTTTTGGGGGGTGGGTAACTGTTTGAGTGTCTTCCTGGAGTGCGAGTGCCCTGATAAAGATGAAAGCTGCTTCAGGGGCATGGCTGCTAAACAGGGACTTTGGAAATGTAGGTTCAGGACTCTCATGTGCCTTGGCCTTTTTTTATTATTCGTGTTTTATATAAAAGGGGATGACAGTAATGCTGTCCTACCTTGCAGGATTATTTTACAGTTGTCCCAATGGTCATGAGTACAAAAGGCCTCTGGGAGGCAGTTCAAGTGTGATGTACAGTGCTCAGTCAATTTTGAGAGAACACCACGTTCTCTCAGATTGGGTAAGGGCAAGAGAAAGCATTGAAAGGCTGATTTCTGTGGAAAACAGAGCAGTTTTCATGAGAAATTTTGAGCTGCCCAGAGGGTAACAGTCGCCGTGACAAATAGAAGGCGGCAGTTTGGGGAAGAATGGTGCCAAGCTGGCCTCTCCCTGTGCAGATGTGACTGCCACAACGATAAGCACTAAGCACAGCAGAAAAAGACACAATGAGTACATCAGTTCAGAGAAGAACCACGCAGCTTACCCAAAGCAAACAGAAAGAGAACTAAAACCTTACATAGGCACTCCCACTCAGAATTAAACTGGCTTTCATTTTAGAAGCAAAGCAAACCATCAGATTATTCATTCTGAATAATTGTGTGCACATTTAGATAAACTGAATGCAGTTTATCTAAACTACTTTAAAATTACTTCAGATTAATCTTCCTGATTGTGCCTGTGCAGGCAAATACTATGGGGCAAAGCTTTGTGAATATTTTAATACCTTTTAGGATCTTGGGAAACAAAATATATGGCTAGATTGCAAAGATCTGAAGTTGCTCCTCAAACTGGCTCCCCAAAAGCCATCGATATCTTTAAAGTGCTTAAGGCTAATGGAATCCATCAGGAAAAATAAGAGAATCAACTATGTTTCCCTACTTAAGTTTAGAAAATAGGCTATCCATCTGGCCTCCTGTCAATGTGGGCATAATAAGCTCTGACTGTAGATCTACCCGAAGCAACATATCTGAGTGGCTAAAAGCAAGGGTCAAAAAGAGAAATGAAGCATCTAAAGAGGTATGTATGAAAATTGTGTTTCATACTGATTGAGCTAAAATGGTGTGACCACATTAAAAATATTTATTAATTTGGATGAAGAAACAGTCCACTGAAAGACATTAACCAAGTAGAACCATGCTTTTCTGCAGCCTCTGAGAGGCTATGGCAAAGAGTTCTTCTAGAAAATCTTATTTTCCACTGTGGAGGAACCGAGAGGAAGAAAGCAAGTATTGGCTGTCACCAATAGCCTTATTAGCTACACTTCAAAAATGCATCTTGTCTTCTAGAAAACTGTTTACAGCAATGATTTCTTTATTTTCTCCCATACTGAGCCTTGCATGAGCAGATTCTCAGGTGCGACAGATTGCCCCAAGAGACTACTAATGATATAAAACATGTTATTTTCTAAGTCATAGACAGATGATCAGCAATAACAGTAAAGCCGCTTAGGGCAGTTTTGCTAGACGTCTGGCAATTTATGTGAAATAAGCTAACACTTAAAGTAAGCTTCTCAGAAGAAGCAGTATATAAAAGTCTAAAGCTGAAGGAGATGACTCTTGTACCTACCCTTTGGTAGATGGGGTACTGCGTGTGATAACTACAGAGGAACTACAACTGAATTCCCCCAAACTACACTGCAATTCAAATTAGTGAAGGGCATAGGCTGGTCTTGAATAAACAGCTGAGTTGTGAAACCATAAGCAGCTCCCAAATAACCTATTGCACATAATAACCCATCACCTTATGATGAGTATGGATACAGTAGAGAACTGAAGCCTGAGCCTTGTTCCTGGCAAAGAAGTTTCTTCTTTCTGCTTGCAAATCTGGCATAGGGTCATGGAGAGAATTCAAGAAACTGCCACGAAGATGGCTTGTACTTCAATAGATGGGAGTGACAAGTGGGAAGACAGTTAAGCCTAGGTGCTCCGTTTGAAGCAGAGGGAAAAATTAAAGGGAAACATTAAAGCAGGTTCAGTGACACATTCAACTTTTTTTATTTGAATGTGGTTTACTGTCCTTAGAGCTTAAAGGCCTGATATTTAGGTAGCTGTGAAAAAAGCAAAGAATGAGCTTCTACTGTGCTTTCTACCACATTGCAGCAGTACCTGGATGAACTTAAGTAGCCTGTAAAAAGAAAAGGGGATTTACATTTTAAAAGGAAAAAAAAAGGACTCTCAGCTCACAAGTTCATTGCTGCGCTGTGTTTGCTTAGGTCACAAATCTGACAGTTCAGATGAAGAGATTTTTCTCAGCATGAGTTTCTATTTGAAATTTAAGTACAGTGTTGCAGCCAATATCCATTGGCTACTCATGCCAATCAACTTCATGATGCCAAGACCTTACTGCTGCCTGTTTCAGCAGAGCTTGGAGATTCCAGCCTGTTCTTACTCTTTTTCAGTTTACCTCTATTTCTAGGGTAATTCTTGCCTCCTGCATAACTGGAAGTCTTTTTATGGACCAATTTCCCTCCATAGCAGAATGTCAGAGAGAAATCAGAGCAATACATCAGCCAGGAATTTCCCTA